TAACGATGACAGATGGAATTGCAAACATCACAAATCATTTCATTTTGTATTTTGGCACATTCTCTTTCAATTGCTGCTTTCACCTCGTTGATTGTTGCAGGTTTTGTGCTATAAACCTAATCTTTGAGGTATCCCCATAAAAAAACGTTCTCACACTTCCAGTAGCACTTTAGGATAAATTTCCTTTTCTCAAAGCTTAGTCTTGCTTCTGCCATTACTTCAAATCAGTTGCACCTGTAAAGAAAGAAAGTTTAAGTGAGTTATGGGCTCTAAAAGAGTCTACACTTGTCTTCATTAACTTGAATTATAAAACTTAGATATATCTCAATAAACATTGTACTTATAAGCATTCAAAGTGTGTATACATTTTTTTGGGACACCCTGTATATATATATATTTGTTTATGTACAACAATAGAAATTAAGAAAATAACAGGAGTTTAATAATAATCTATAATTAATGATGAGTCTTTGAGCTTGTCTGCTTCTACAAAAACAACCAGATGTCTCTTCTAACTTTTTCCTTTTGAACACACTCAATTTTAATAGCCAGTTGTTATGAAGGAAAGTGTAGGTGTGTTCAGAACTAAAAAGTGAAATATCTGTGTCAGTCATAAACTGACTTTCTGTAATGCAGCATAACCTTTAAGTTTAAAACACAGTAATAACTTAGTCATTTATATTGGCACACCTTCCTTTAGTTTCCTGATCATGGCTTAAATCGCCTGAATGAGCGCCTTATTCTATTTCGACATGAGTACAGTTCAGAAAACATGCTACTTCCAATTAATGCAGCCTCAGATGTCACAGAAAACACTGTTGTGGAAGTTGTTCTGTCAGGTATTGTTGGAGTCCTAGTTTCTGTGTTTTGAAGTAATTAAGAAAATGTGAAGGAGTGATGAGATATGTAGTCATGCAGTTATGTAAGTTTGAATTATAGAAAATCATAAAAGAGAGAGAGAAAGCTTATATCATGAGATTATAGTTCACTAATATATTGTTTACTTATTGTGCTTAAGTGTTTTAACACAAGTTTTTTCTTAAAGTATGAAAATAAGTTTAGGATTTTAAAAAGCATAATATTGCATTTCATTTAAAAAAAGTAATTGGTAAATTTCTTCTAAGTAATAATTGAAGGTCATATTGAATGTTAGGAAGATTTGTTGAAATGCTAATTAGATTTATAATGACTTTCTGGATGATATTGGTTTATTTTATTAATATTAAATAATTACTTGACTTAATTAAGTTTTTCATTTATCACTCAATAAAAGATAAATCTTACTTAAATATTCTCAATAAACTTTTTCAGTCCTTAAACATCTCACTCAGAAGATTCTCTGGAAAAGCATCAAATGTTTCAGAGCAGAGGTGCAAGGATAAATAGTCTGAAATGAATATTAATATTTTATTTTAACACTTTGAAATTAAAAAAACTTGTAAAGAGTAAGTTTTTATATTCAGGCATGATTGAATGCTGTCATCAATCACATTATACTAAAATGTAAACATTTATATTTCAAAAACAAAGTTAGATATAATTAAAACTTGAATAATTCTCTTTGTAACCAATCTTAAATCTCCATGATATGCTGAACTAAAGTCACACTTTATAGATTAGTTTGTGCATTGCTTCATTGTAAGAGTTTAATTGTTTGTTTTATAGTAAACAACCCAAGTGATGATGTTCAGATCCGACCACATAGCTTAATGGTACACTCATACAAGTCTCCCAATTTTTGTGACTTCTGTGGAGAACTATTATTTGGTTTGGTTAGACAAGGACTCAAGTGTGAAGGTAAGCTATTTTAAAAGTAGGGGATTCAAAGTCAAGATATTTTCTTGATATTACCTTTATGCTTGTGTTCAAAATATTGATCAACAGGTGAATACAATATAAATCTGAGTATTTGTTGTTTGTGTAATTTTTAGTTTCATTTAGAACTATTAATATCTTTATGAAACATCCTGTTTGGTGTATTAATCACACACTTGAATAATGCCCAAAGTTTCATGCTGCACTTGGAACTATCTCCTCCATTAAGCAAACCAAATACACAGATGTTCAAGTAGTCAAGTGACTTCATAGGTGTATCAGAAGATATGATAGCCATACCATCCATTTCATTCTCTCATAGAAATGTTGCAGTAGGCTTAGATTTGTGACTTGACACATTGACAAATGCTAACTATGTTGTATTAAAATGATTTTGGAGCCTCACCATGCTGTTACAGTCCATGATGCCACATCTGGTCATGCTCTACCTGATGAATGTTACTCTTGACAATAGCTCTTCAGCATAGTTTACAGTGTAGAAGGCTCCATTGTAAGGCTATCGGGTTCAAAGCACACCCCTCCTCCCTGGAGGCTTTCCATAAGCCATCTCATGTACAAGGATGACAGTTCCTAGTGATCACTTTCAACAGATGTTGTGTACTGGTGCCTGGGACATGTGAATATCTTTTTCCACTGGCCTTTGTATTCACAGATTCTGAACTTTTATAATATGCTACACTTTGCTCACCAAGGCTGGGTTACAACTGGTTTCAGGTCTCTATCTGGATGGTCCTTGTTTACATGTTGATACACATTCCTTTTTTTTACAATGCCATTAAGTCTTGGAGTAAATCCTTAGCTTGAACACATTTATATGATCTGAGTGTATGAATATTTTGCATCAGAAAGAGCTGTTATGTACCTTTCCCAAAAGTGATCAAATTATTTGTGGCATCACTATATATATATATATATATATATATATATATATACACACAACAATACACATATAATATAACTAAATAGTAATATAGTATACTATATTCTTCTACACTACTTATAGTGGTTGTGTTCGTCTATGTAGTATACTATTA